TAGGCAGGGCTGGCAGTGGACAGACCAGTCTTCAGCGAGGACCCACACAGTCTGATTAGCATACACACAGTGACAGTTACACACAAACAAACTGGGGTGGCCGTAACAATATAGCCTAATGTTTTGTACTGTGCTGGTTAAATAAATATTACAGTTCTAAATTAAATTAAACTCTTAAACTCAAATTTCCAGAGTAGCTCATCTGATCAGATAATTTTAACATTCAGTGTACTGTCTTTGTGACTGTCATGAATAACAAGTTCATAATGTTAAAGTCAGTTTTGGAGTTTGGTGGGTGGCTTGGCAGTGAATTCTTTATACTTAGGGAAAGAAATAAGCAAGGCAATCATTCCTGAGATGAGAATTACTGTAGTCTGTAATTTAAAATATCCAACGGCGAATTATGACTCACCAGTGGTGTCAACAAAAAGCTCTGCCTCAGCTCAAACTGTCAGACTGTCTCCCCGACTTAATTCTCAAGATCAAGGTCACCAGCAACGAAAATATTATTCATATATTTGCCATTTCTAGTTTAATGTTGCAGTATGTGATGTTCAGTGACTATGACTGGAGGCATAGGATACAGAAATACTCAATTTGACCTTTACACTGTCAAAGTAAGATCATAATGTAGTCTTGCTAATATTTTGTTCTATTCTATTCTATCGAGGGGTGTCATTGTGTAAACATGTTTTAGAACCAGTAATGGAAAAGGTCAGATGATTGTCACATTCATCTGCAAGGCAGCAGCATACCTGTGTTTTCTTTAATGTGCTTAATGTTACTGAGGTATTTAACAGCCTCTGTTCAACTCAAAGCTAATACCCATCCAGAACACTCAATTTATGTTTCTCATACAATTTAGTTTAGAAACTTTAGATGCCAAACAGTTCTCCTTCCTGGACACTCGTTTTGTCTTCCTCATATTAAAATAAGACATCAACTTATACAATATAGCTAAATCCATTATAACTCCAGACATAAAAACAACATTAACACAACATGACTGCAATTTGCTGTGCCAAGATCACCAGATCTTAAACTCATCCTACTCTCTGGACTCATTATGCTCTTAGTCATCTCTGACCTGCAGTCTCATTCCTATTAATTTACAGCAGACAGAGACGACCTCATTTTCATTTTCTCTTTCCTGTAATATTCTCCAATCTGTCTGTCTGAGACTTGAAGTGATGATCAAAAGTATCTATCTTCCACTTCCATTCCTTTCCATCTGTAAGTTCATGGGCAAAGTAAAGATAGACAGTCTTATGATAGCTTGAACAGAGTGGGGACTGTGGGAGGCAATGGCAGGTAAATGTCTGAAATTGCCTGCTGCGCGCAGTCGGGCCAAATGGAACTCAGCATGGTGAAGGACATCTAAAGGCTCATGGCACCATATTGCTATGTGTCACCTCGACCAGCTCAGAAAAAAATCCTTGTGTGGAATTTGATTTTGGGTGAACTCAGATTGACACTTTGTCGAGTAAGGTCTGAAATTCTCTGGTTGACCCTACTTTGAACAAGGAGTTTGTTCAGAGTTTGGCCCCACAACCAACCCTTTCCAAACACCTCACTGTAACAGCACAGCAACGTTATAACACGAGAGCCTCGTTTGACAAAGGTGAGATTTCTTGTAAAGGGAAATCTTTTGCTCAATATTTGATCTCAACATCATTAGACTTAGGTTATTTAGTTTCCTGTCGCTTAATATTTCAATTAACCTCTTCCTTCCTATATCCTTTCTTCCTCATTAATTCTGAATTGCAGCAGCTGGCATACTGAGTGTTCAAAGGCAACCTAGATGCATTGATTCTTAACGCTTCACAGACCAAACCCTTCTTCCCACAATCTCCTTTTTTTCCCTTCCTTGCTGGCAAATCATATGAAGCTGCTGCAGTCAGGAGCTTGACTTTGAAACAAACAGGGAGTGTGTGTAGTAGTCGTTGGGGGTGGGTGAGGGGGTGGGGTATTGAGGTGTTTGTGAGGCTCAGATAAGCATGTGTGCAGTGGTTTGGCTGCAAAACAGAACTCCCACTGTGTCGAGCTGATAAGACGTGGAAGTTCGATGTGGGTTTTTTTCCCACCCTTCCATTATGGCTCTTGTTGATTTCACTGGACAATGACTTGTACTTATAATAATAAGGTGGCTGAAGCACGTTTCTGGTTTAGACAATGAAGACAAACACAATATAATCCACCACCTCTTACACGTAAATGTTGAGAATTTACATGTACTTAATTTGAATAGTGCAATTTTGATATAGCTGTCAGCAAAAGTGTTTTGGGGTAAACATTTGCTGATGGGCCCCTATAACATCTCCACACCAACTTATTTATGAATATATACTAAGTGAACATTATGTAAACTAAAATACAGTAATAAGTGTTAAGATTACAGTCTGGCTATAATATGTGACCTACCTCAGCTGATATTGTACTATAGAGTTGCAAAGTCCCTGACAAATTTACAATTACCACAAGCAAATTCGCTATGAACCTTGGTTTTTTTGGTGCCCCCTTGGAATATGGAGCCCTGGGACAGTTATCCATGTTGTCCAGCTGGTAAATTTCAACACATTTAAAACCTACGTCAAATACTGAATATAGTCACACACCATGAACTACATTTCACTGAATTCTACCAAATGAAACTCTTAGAGACACACTATAGCTATAGTAAGTTGAATACCAGGACTGGACTGTCTTAATAGAGTGAGTCCTTATTTAAGAGTGCATTTCATTCCAATATACTGGACTGAATTGGTATATATCCAAATCTCTACTGCACCAACAGACATTTTTGAGTGCAGTCTGGTGGTAAGATTGAGAGTATTAAAACATCTTGCTGTAATCATCCATCTAAAGTTTTAAAGGAAACCTCTGGGCCAGACGCACTAAAAGCTGGTCATAATGAACAATCCCATAACACTAGATGGAGCTCTTGCTTCATCACACACCCCACTCAACCACTCCTCATCTCTGTGAAGCAGGGTGCTCATGACACATTCCTGATGATTTTGACAGTCTCAGCTTCAAACTTGTGAGAGCTGCAGGAAGAGCAGCAAATGATTGACACATTGATGGACAGACAAACAGTGAAAACCTCAAAACCAGCTGTCCTTGTTCACGGCCATCTGCCGCTTCCTGTCTAATTGGATGATGAGTGCTTTGATTGGAATGTTGGCTTGATTGCTAAATATTCCCCATATGTTTTAAATTATCTTTAGGCTTTTTAGTTTTCTATACAGTAGCAATAGATGTAGCAGAATTAGTATTAGCACTGACAGTACAAGCAGTCAATAGATCATAGCTGTATAACTGACAACAGCTATGATCTATTGACATGCTTGTGGTTAAGATATAACTTGGTCCACAGAATCATATAAAAAGCTGCGTTGTTGGCTTACAGCTAAGCTCCTTTGACATTTTGTTCACTCAGCCATGGGGCAACATTTCCTGACACTGAGAAATTTTGTAAAGATCCAGGATTTCACAGGATGTAGTATTCACCTACAGTAATGTGGAAAAAAACCTGCTTTATCCTCCCAACACTGACCAGAATCTATAATAAGATGGACACCTCTGAACGTCTGGTCATCTCTGCTGTGATCAATACCAGAAAAGATATGATTCATACAGTAGAACAAATTTGTCACAGGGGCAAGTTCCTGTTTTTCACTGTCAATCAGATGAAAAATGAAAAATAACAATTTTCATCATGCATTCTAGCCTTAGTTTTGGCAGCCCTGCTGAATAACAAATGTTTTCATATGACATGCATACATAGGTGATCTCAGTTTCCACTGTAAACACTGCCATCCCAATGACTCTGGCTAATAACTTACAGTTGACAGCCAAGCAAATCAAGACATATAGAAACATAATGTTGCAGTGTCTGAATCAACCCCAATGAATATGGTAAAAAAAAAAAAGAACAGAAGAGGTAAACTTGTGGAATTCAAATGTCACTGAATATCAATACATCAAATACACTGTAAAGCTCTGAAGAAGCTGCTTCCGATCAACACTTCACATTTGAGCCAAGAGGACCTATGGCTGTCAGCACTGAACCCAACCCTGTGACATTTAAAAGTGGAAACAAGAAAGGTTTTCACTGCCCCATCGCACAAAATGACAGTAATATCTCCAGGTGTGTGTGACAGGGATGATAGTAGAATTCCTGGCATTCAGAACTCAAGTCTCTTGGCCATACTTGTTATATTTCTTTCAACAGAAGCCCATTCAATGATTTGGTTTACTCAGTGATTCTACCCATCATCATGGTGGCTGAAGCCTATGTTAGACTTCAGTGGCAGGGTGGTGGCAAGGCAAGGAAACGCCTTGAACAGCCCACCAACCAGTGGTGTAAGTACCACTAGTGTGGACCCAGCTTATTATAAGGGCTCACAAGGGACAGTGACAATAGCCTAGTGTCCGTGGTTGGGCACTTTTGCGCCTTCAGCAGTGAATAGTAGTGCAAGCAGCATGGGACAAGAAAGAATGTTGTTAATGACTTAGCTGAGCGAAAGGCCTGTAGGATGAACTTTTAATGGGTGAGTGTCTCTTTGTTATGGAGTGGGATCAGGGATTTAAATTACCTCTCAAATGTTAGAAAATGCTTATTTAATGTAATCTATGTCTGTGATAACACTTGGCCGCTGTGCCATTGATGATGAATGATGATTAATGAATTGTTTTTGCAACTAATTAGATTTGGCACTTTGTCTGTTGTCCGTGGTGGTGATCAAAGGTTTGCAATTGAGTCTACTTGCCTGTGTGTCCATGAGTGTGCTTTTTGGGGCGCGGGGTAAAAATATTTGCACCAGGGCCAATCACAAATGTGTTACCTTTCTTGACAGTTGGTGTCAGCAGTGTGAGCATCCTGCACTACCAAGCTGCAACCTTTGTGGCTGGCAAATAAAGCCAACGTGGAAGTAAAAAATAAACTGTCGTTCCTCACATGGCCACTTGAGGCTGGCTACAGTAGTGAGTCAATCTCTATAAGCCTCCACATACTTCACAGCAGACATAAAGATGTTTACAGCCTGGTACAAAAACGCTATTGTGTCTACAGCTAAATTCCCCATTCATAACAACTGTGTGGAGAGTGAATTTTTATATAACTCACCTGTTTAAATTATATTATAGTTTAAAGTTATGCATAACTAAGGGGATAGCCGCTTTATGTGACAGGTTGGTGTCATCACAGGACTCTGTTTTCTGTAACCAGGCAACCAACGTCTTTTACACCAGTAATAGAGAGTACAATGGAAAGGATTACTAAAGCAAAATTGTATTAAGTAATAAAAGCAAAAGCAGTTCACTAGGAAGGATTACATCTGAATATAAACAAGACTAAGCAGTTGCATGCTAGCAGCCCTGCGAGGCCTTACTGTGCTAATTAGTAACATTAACATGCTCACAATAACAATGCTAACATGCTGTTGTTTGGCAAGTATAATGTTTTTCCATGTTCACCATCTTAGTTTAGTGTGTTAACATGCTAACATCTGGTAATTAGCATTAAACATAAAGTGCAGGTGGTAGTTTGCAGGTATGTGGTCATAAACCGAAGTATTGGACAAATAAGAAATTTGACCACATGATGGCATTAGTGGAAATAATAGCCTCATTAGTTAGTCTATGTGTGGGTCAAAGTTCACTTTAGTTGAAGTTTGGCTGCAAAATCTGAAGGAAAAACCAGGCAAGCAAAGTTTGTTGAAAATAATGGCCTGGCTGTGTGCAATGTCACAGGGTTGTTGATCTATCTTCCAGGCTACCAAAGTTCCAGACAATGAGCGTGGTAAGAGCCTTGTGAAGGAAGAGGTCCGTTTTGAAGTTCGTGGAGCAATTTCTACTGGTCTCACAGAGGTCACAGATGACTTAATACCACTTTAACAAGTTCTAAACAGATACATTAATTGAAAAAAACTACTCAATATGGCAATATTCATGCCAGTTAGAAAATATCTATTAGAAGCCATGCATTAAAACTCATTAGGGCTCGTTTGGAAAGGATGGGAGGTCTTTGGCACCAATCAATCAAGGTCACTGCTAAGATGATG